TTCTTTAGCACAAGAGCCATGGCCTCAGCCAATTACTTTGTATCAACCATATGAAGTTGAACAAATATTATTACCTGACAATGCAAATTGTTTAGCTGTACAAGCTTTCCTTAAAATGTGTGGCCTTGATTTTCAAATAGAACCAAGAAGCAATGCAGAATATATGTCCCCATCTGGCCGTGTACCATTTATTAAATGTGGGGCATTTTTAATATCTGAATTTGACAATATCGTATCATTCATAGGGAATAAAGGCAGAAGTTTGTCAGACCATTTATCTGCAACTTGCAAAGCAGACATGAGGGCTTATATGTCATTAGTGAATAATGTTTTTGTAAATGCTGAGCTATATATCTGTTGGGTTGATGAACCAACATTGAATGAAGTAACTAAAGTAAGGCATGGTAGTGTATATCCATGGCCATTAAATCACTTTTTAAATTGGCAAAAAAGAAAGGAAGTGATAAAGAAACTCAATGTACTTGGCTGGTATAATAAAACTATAGAAGAAGTATGTAAGGAGGTTCAAAATTGCTGTACAGCATTGTCTGAAAGATTGGAGGGTAGTGATTATTTTTCTGGAGAGAAGTAAGTATAATTTATTAATTTAGATTGCTATAAATGCTTTATTTCTTTTTGTTAATTAAAATTAAAGATAACAAATATCTTATATCCATTTGAAATTTTTTCATTGACAAAAGTGTACTGTGTTTTTTGTTTAATATCACTGATGTTTTGATTTTTGAAAAGACCTACTGAAGTAGATGCTCTTGTATGTGGTCACATATATTCCTTGTCTTCAATCACTCCTTCTCTCCCACCTACTGTTCGAGAGATTGCTGCAGCTATACAAGATTTTCCTAAACTTCTTGAACATGCATCAAGAATTGGACGAAATTACCTGAATAACTGTTTGCTTGAACCTCCTGTTTATGATTTTGAAATCTGTGCATCTTCTTCCAAAGAAACTCTATGGAATTATTCTGAATCAATTGAAGCGTTACCACCACTTTCAGAAGATTCTTTTGAAATTCTCCTTTTAAATCCCTGAATCCTTGTAACTGTGAATTTGCTGCCATAGTTTAAATACATGAAATTTATATTTGACAGTATTTTTATTTAATTATATTTAGGACACCTAATGAATTGGATGCCCTAGTTTTTGGACATATTTTTACAATAGTCACAACACCGCTACCTGGTAACAAACTAGCAAATATTGTCCAGAGCTATCCACTGCTAGTGCATCTCTGCAAACGCATTGAAACTAGGTATTTCCAGCGTTCAGAAGATTAGGAGGAATTTCCCTCGGGCTCTAGATACGTCGAAATTATGTACTCTGATAGTACTGATATGAAGTTTCTGTGCTATGCACGCACTCTTGATAAAGATCAAAGTAAAAAAGTAAAGCCAAAATTATGTAGTATCTTATAAACAACTGTCTAAAGAAAGATAAATTCCTTACACTATTCAAAATGATATACAAACTGTGGTTTTAAATAATTTTATTAAGGTATTATGTTATGTAACGCATGAGGCACATATATTGTATATCATAAATATGATACAAGTTACAGTAAATAAACAAACGTTCAATGTATCTGAAGCCCGAGTCCGAGAACTAGTAAGAAATAGTAAACTTTATAGAAAATAAAGAAAAGTATTGATAGTTGTTGTAGCTATTAAATATGAAAATTATATTAGCGTTGAACATGAAGTACCGTTGAATGTATTATTCTAAATATATAATATTGCACGTGACATTTTTCAGCATTTTTTCTCCTCAAGAGATACGGGTGAAATAAAGTAACAAAATGTTGGAGGCGAGAATTAAGTAATACGACTTTGGAGATTTCTAAATATATGTTCTTGGAAAACGACAGGAATGCATAACCGATAAAAGGTATCCGTAAATTAGGCGTTTTACAAAAATATTTGTCAGATATTGTTAGAAACGATAATGTTAAATCATTGTTTATTTCTCCAATGACAATTGTTTTCAATGTATTTTTGTCAGCATTTATTTTTAACTTAAATCATTGAAGAGAATTATGTACAATAACAACCATTCTGATATTAAGTATAACTATATATGTGTTAATTGACAATAAGTATCTTTCTGTCATAAAAATTGCATATATTTAACTAATAATATTTGTTATTTTGTGTGCATTTTAAATAACTTATTCACATTTTGTTTTAATTTTATTTTAATTGAAAGTTTTTATTAGCTACATGAACTAATTTATACTTATCTGTAAAAAGTATTTATGTCATTACTAATGTGCATTGTTTTCAATGTACATCTGTATTACATAGATATCTTTTACACGTTATAATAAAACTCTACTTGTCTAGTCAGTTCATTATAGCATACTTTTCTGTGTGAAATTGTAAAACATTCTTAGATATCATATGTAAATTAATATAATGATGTATGATAAGAGCTAAATTAAATCTAAGTTATTGGAATAATGTTCGAATTATTTTTTTTTTTCATATTCTTAATTGAATTGGAAGATGAATATTTAATACTAATTACGCAATTATGAGTTATCTCGTATAAATATTAAAATATGTCTGTTACATATTTCTTGTCTCCAGCGTTTAGTTACAGTAAATACTAATTATATTCACCTTCAAATTTTTTATTAAAATTTGTATACTTAATAGAGAGAATGTAAATTTTTTGATTTCTTTCAAAATATTGTTTACAGTTCAATGCTTTCACATATAGGAATATCGTTAAATAAACACTGTTTATCTCCTTATTGCAACAATTTATATCTGAATATATTCATTTTTTAGTGATAAATAAAAGAATAAATAATATAAAGACTTTCTTCATACATAACAAGCATGTATTTTCCTCCCTACTGTTATTATTTTTATTTCTTAATAGTATCTTTCAATAACAAATATTATGTAAGAGCTACTATTATAATATGCATGAGAATACAATTTGATTATTCTAAAGAAAACATAAGCAGTTTGCAATTTGTTATTCATTGAAATTATAAAAAGATATTATGTAGAAAAAGAAAAATACATACAGCGATTTACGATGATAAAATTAAATTAGTGAAGTCATTTCCAATATTGCACGATGTGATTCGTAGAAAAAATTATAATAATTATCTCGATTGAGGCTTGTTAGATAATGATCTAATCATTATCTTATGCTTCAAAGGAACTCAAAAAATTAATAGAAGAAGCAAAAAAATTTATCCAATACAGGACAATTGAAGTTTTACATCTTTTATAATAAAGATTGATATTACACATCTGTAAATTCGTGATGTGAAGTGCGCATACAATCTTGAAGTATAGTAAACACTACAAGATGTAACAAGTTTACAGTTTTACTAAATTGTGGCGTTTTGATATAAATTTCTGGCTATGAATTACACGCAATTCTTTAATTCTATTAGATATAGCAGGATATAGCGATATAATTGTTTCACGCACGTTTATACAGATACATACACATCACATGTACTCGTAATTAAAAAATTATGAATATATGTATATATGTATGCACTTAAAGAACTTGTAATCTACACTGATTTATACTTGCAGTGCTCAACTGAAAAGTTTAAACATTCATACTTTCAATATATCGATTAAAAATAATCAGATTGAGATCATATTTATTTATAACTAAACTTAAATATAGAAGACATTACATCTTTCCAGAAGACTAATTGTATATATATATATATAGCTATATAGCAAAAAATATTACAAATTTAACAATAATTATTTGCAAAATGACAACTATAGACAATAATAATCATTTGTCGTATGTTTAAAATTGATAGAATATCATTTTATGTAACTAAAAACAGAATTACTTGTGCGAAAATATTTAATCAAACATAATAAGTCTGAAGTTGTTAATTATAATTTTGATTAATGCAAAAAGTAGTTTTATTCTGAAAGTATAAGTTTAATATTCCTATCTTCTTTCTTTATCTTTTTTACTTTGTTAATAGGTATGACTTCTGCTATGTGTGGACTATGCTCAGAAATAAAAACTAGCGATAACGGAAGTTATTCGAAAATGGAAGTTTGTATTTTATTCATTTATGTTTATCCTATCAGTATATTTTGTTTCTATTCAATGAACTTACTATCTCTTGGAACAAATAATTGAATTAACTATTGCAATAATTTCATCTCATAGATGATATTAGATTTTTACTTAACTTACTTTATAATTGGATAAATATATTGAATGCTTTGCATATTTTTGCATACAATGAATAATATGATTAACTTCATGAAGTAAATAGTATCACTTCCAAAAAAGAAGAAAAAGAAAACTCGAATGCGATCGATCTTAATTTCTTAAATAAAATTTTAATATCTAGTATTTGATTATTTTGACATCTCTCAACTTAACATTATGCATATTTTATATATATTTTGTTTAATTACATTTTATTCATTTTCTCTACAACTAAGAATATGAAGAATATTTAAATTGAGAGATATCTATAATTTGCTATAATGTATCTACTAGAGCAATTTAATAACAAGTGTATAACCTCATTTTTTAATAATTTAGATTAGAATATTATTTATGAAATTTTCTCACAATAACACATAAGCCCTGGCAGTCACTGGTATCAAATCTTGATTTGTCTTTATGTGATTCGTAAAGAGAGAGTTTCATTATTTATTTATTGATTGGTACCTGCCCAAATATTTGATAAATATAGATTCTAGTAACTACTATGTTGTGATATTTCTTAACAATATTATGTTAAGATGTTAATTTTTCAAATGTATTTTTTACACTAATCTTTTTAACAAGATTGATTTAAGTTCCTTACAAATAAGTACAAAATTTATTATATTTAAATAATAAATTACCTTTTTTTTTGAAATTTTATAAAAATCATAGCGCAAGAATTATCTCATCTTTTATCGATATAACTATATTTTGGTTTTTAATAATTTCAACGATGCCGTATCGAATATTATTAACAAAACATTATTGCAAATTATAGAATTTTCTTTTGGCGTGTGTTATTGCACGCTTTGTATGATATCTTACATTTATCTGCTGAATATATCCGTAAGATATACTATACATGTACGTACTTATATAGACTAACAGCTTTTAAAATGTTAATCTTGTGTTTATGAAATGAATTAATCTGGTGGTAAAAAACTGAAGAGTCGAAATTGTTCTCTAATACGTGGTCTAACATCTCCACCCTAAAATGTTAATTAACGTTTATTCTATTATCAATATTTGTTGCAAATCACCTAACATAAACTTTATTAAATACTTACCCAATTTACTAAATTTTCTAAGAAAGGTAACAATTTCATTAATTCATTATCTGAACGATCGGCAAACCAACTTTCTATAGGAATACCATTTTCTAACTGTAAAAGAAATATTTTATTAAAATCAGAAAATATATAACTGTTCTTTTTTTCAATATTTTAAATATGACAAAGCCTTATTGTAAATATTCTTACTTGGTATCCAAATGCTTGTGGACTATTATCGATAATAACAGTTTTAGATAAATCTCTACCGAGTATAGATAGATCCTTAATATAATTTCCATTTACGCAAACACAGTGTTCTCTGAACAGACGATACTTAATCAATTTTCGTGTTGGATCTAATAGATTCATTAATTTGTTTGCATAAACTCGTTTACTTGCAGTAAAAAGGATCACTTCATATAATGACGAGACATGTTCTAAAAATTCGCGAAAATAGGGTCTTGTTCTGACGAACACCGTGTATGTTACATCTTGAAAGACGACTGGAAAGCGGAATGCTGCATCCGAAAGTTCTTGCAAGCTACAGTGAACTAATGTTTCATCCTGTATAAAAAAAAAATCTTTTTATATCCCTTCGTTCATTTTCTGTAATATTTTTAGATTTTATTAAAGAATTATTTTGTTACTGTATTAATTTTTATTATGCATTTTTTTATGATAATTCAAAATATTCGTACCAAATCTAATACGAGACTAAATTCTGGACTACTGCGTGTTTTAAGAGGAAGCGCAGGACACCTGGCTCTCATCGCTGGAGTCAAAGGTGGTAAGTGTTTAATGAAGACATAAGGATCAAATGGTTCCCAATCTTCTTGAACATGAGTAACCATATTTTCCATATCACAACTTTCTACTATTTCCTCACTTCCAACTTCCATATATTCAACGTCATGGTAATCGTTCTCAATATCATCGGAATCATATTTTTCAGTAACATTCCCGTTTGTATCTGGCGAATGATGATGGCTTAGACTATACATGGTTGTAGTACCATACTTTGTAGTAGTAAAGTTTGATTCATATTTTGACAAATGGGTGTCAACAGAACATTGAGTTTTTGACGAATTACTATTGTTCGCATTATTATTGCTAAATGTGTACTTTCCATTTGGAAAATACTTTTCTGATGAATAAGAACGAGTTCCATACATGGATGTAGAATGCATTAATCTATAGCATTCTTCAGATGCTTCTGTTTGTGTGCAATGTGCGGAATAATACAGCGAACTAGTATCTGTAACAAAAGGAATGTATTAGTTGCATATGTGTTACACAAAGCCAAATAAATTATTATAAGCTATATTTGTAAATATGCATACCAATACTTTTGCTTTCTTCATCATCCAATACATATGAAAGATTTGAATTTGAACCTATAGATGCAGGAGGCATTAGATTTGATAGTGGTGATACACTCGGAACTGAAGATTTGATGTCATTTACACTGGTTATGGAAGAACAACATGAGTCTGTGTTTAATATAGATGAGTACAAAGATAAACTAGTTGTATTCCAGTTTTCCTTAGATTCTTCAGAAACTTTTGATACTGTTGCACATTTTTCTGGCTAAACAATTTATATTTTTTACTATTAATTATTCAAAAACAAACTAGTTCAAAATAACTTACAATAACTGCATCTTTTGTAGAAGATCGGTGTAAAGGAGTTGAAGTAACCATTGATCGTTTTATGCATTTTCTTCTACGAGGCCCTCTCTCTCGTCTATTAGGTGTAGATTTTACGAAACGTAAAACATTTTCTTTACAAGCCTACGAAGATAATAATCTTTTTAACAAAACTGAAGTGAAGTCTTTACATTAACCAAATGACTTCGATTGTAGTTCTAAGAAATCTAAGTGCATAACATCCTTGAGAGTTAGTCAGTCACTCATTAACCGCTGATTAGTTATAAAGTATTTCTTTTTAAGGAATAGTGAAGTTTGTTTTAATAAATGACCTGCAAAGATCATTTACATAAGCTAATAATAATAATGTAGTTTGAAATATCATAATTGAATATCAATGTTTTAGATAGCAACACAAAAAGATACAACAGATGTGAGAAGTTAGGGTCAAAGGAAAAATAGATACTAATGCATACCTCTTTTAAGAAATGAGTACATCTATGTTTCCATCGTGTCAGTCTACCACATTTGTTTGGTGTATTAATGCGATAATTATTATTATTTACAGATGGAAGTTTTCGTAAGCTGCTAACTTGTACCCGATGGTGAGATGTTTTAGTTCTGGATACACAACTTACGTTTAAACGACCACGTAGTCTTCTACTAACATGCTCACTTCGTAACCACATTTCAGAGAAGTATCTAAATGGCCTAAAACAACATGTAACCATAGAATATTATTGTACTATTTAAAAATATTATAATTATACAACTGTTATATTAATCAAAATCAATAAGTAGCATGAATCAATTTCTTGTTAATCAACAGAAGGAGGGTAAATAAATATATACGCATAATATAATGTATACTTATAGAAATTATTAGAGATTTATTTATTAATATTATTATTATATATATATATATATATATATATATATATATATATCCATTTCTTTTGTAGATACATTTTTTTATAAAGAATGATCTAATAATACCCTATTGTAGCAAATAAATTTAAATATAAAACAAAATTTATTTTTATATATTTTAATTATATTTAATTTTCTTTTTTGTTTTCAAGCAATTAATCAAAATACATTTTCTTAACAACTATTTTAAATACAAGTTTCATTGTAACAACTGATATAAAAAATTCTATTTAAATTCAATGGGTATTTTCAACAAAATTATACATTTACAACATCCGAGATACATATTTCTTAACTTTTTACATAAATAATTTATCTCTCCTAGATTAGACTGAGGTATATGAAAAACAGTGGTTTGAACTAAACATAAAATTTCATGAAGGACAAAATTTTTCTAAAGAAATAATAAAATCTAAATCGTAATCTAAAAAGAAAAATCAGTTCATACATCAAACAAAGAGAGATCAGAAGATCAGAAGATCAGAAGATCAGAAGATCAGAAGATCAGAAGATCAAAAGATCAAAAGATCAAAAGATCAAAAGATCAAAAGATCAAAAGATCAAAAGAAAGATCAAAAGATCAAAAGATCAAAAAGCTATCAATTATTAATGTTTGATCGTGTCTTAGAAATTGCGCGGGAAAGAAATTCGATCATATCGTAAAAAAGGGGCGTTCCTGATCCACGATTTCTTGTAGTGGTTCTATATACGTATACATATACTCGTGTAAGCGTCACACTACGCACGCACGCAACAAACACGCGCATACAAATACACATAGATGCACACTTAGAAATATATATCGATTTATATGCAGTGTGATACTTGGTTACATTTTCTAGTATCTTCACAGAAATAGTGTAGATTTGTGTGCACAACCGAATAATCGGCGAGATGTGAAATGAAATTTATATTACATGATAAACCGTGCACGATGCTCATCTTACTCGATGGTACTGTATATCGGACATAAATCGATCGAAAGTTTGAAAGTGCAATGTTGTGCCGCGGAAGCGGCGG